GCATTTTGCATTTGGTGGATCACAGGGAAGGTTCAGTGGAGAAAAGGACAGCAGGGAGGTTTTTTATGTTTTCTTCTGCTGACATACTGCTGAAGTGGAACATCCTTTATCTTTGTTGAAAGTGTAAATGGGATAATATGGGTCCTTTGGTTTGGAACACAATGGAGGATTTTAGAACTATTCGACAGTCCTTATGGGAAGTAAGTCCTCTTACTCTCTTTTTTTTTTAATTTAATTTTTTTTTAAATTTTACACAGAGCCTACATTAATGATTTTTATTCTTTCAGATTGCAAGGTTAATGTCTGTATCTCTATGGTTTTCCATGTTTTTAAAATCGATCTCTCTCACTCTGTAACTTGTCTGCAGAGAACCCTTGATGACTCATTTCCATGTGTTTTTCCACAGCTGCACAAGCTGCTCACAGACCTGCCTGATGACATGCTGGAAGACAGCAGAGACTCCTCCTCTCCAGAGCTGGAGTACTCGACTTGCAGCAATAAAAACACCACTAACAGGTACATGAATACTGTCAGAATTGGAGAAATGTCAAAAAGGCCTAAACACTGTCTCCGATGAATAATCTCCTCACGTTCTCTTTACTCAGCCCACAGTCAGCGTGGACTCAGCAGTGGTCCAACAATCCAAAACCAAACCCTCACGAACAGGTATTGTTTTGATTTGCTGTGATTGATAATGCTTATTCACTTAAACCACAAAATATTTTCTTTCATTGTCATTGTTTCTCTTAAGCATTATGAATCTAACTACAACCAAGGTCATGATGAGATCGCTTATGAGGAAGGTAACCAGCAGATGGTCGCACCTCAGAGGCATCCGGTTCCTCACAACTGGAGTCAGGAGCCAGAAGATTCCAATTTTACACGAGGAGACTACACGTACACCAGCTTAGACAACAATGACTTATCAGAGTATGAGCCTAAACCGTACTCTGAGAGTAACGGTAACCATTTGGAATATAATGGAGAAGGTCAAAGAACTTTGCAAAACCACAAGGACCATAATCCCAGGAATCAATTTGAAGTGAGTAAAAGCTTTTATTCAGAGGGGAAGAGGATGCAGGAGACAGACAGGAAATCCATCAAAGCTTTTAGTTGTAAAAGTTATATTAAATATAACTGTATTACTTTAGAATCCACTTACTTCATGTCACTTGTTTTTTCAAAATCTGTGTCCACATATAAAACGTTTAAAAATCTTATGATGTTTATTTGTCTGAGCACAATACAATGATTTAAACTAACTGCCGTATCAAACCTTTCTGTTGTTTTTACCAACTTAAAAGTCTGGAACTGTGGACCGAGGTGTGAATCAGTACAAGGCCAGCTACAATCCTCACCCTGCCCACCAGCCAAAGACATTCAACTCTCAGGCCCCTCATCCAGGAGATCACTTTGATCGTCTGCAAAGAGAATTTCTGGACTCCACACAACGTGAGTTAAACAATGATGGCAAAACCCTGCTGTGTAAATGCCAGAAATTATTTTGAGCATGTTTTTTTCCAAGGATAGAGATTCTTGAATATTTTATTTTCAACTACTTTTGTTGTACTTAGCAACACGCAGCTATTTCTTAGTGCAAGTGTGAGTTTTTCTGATACTCTGTGATTATGAATATCCTGTGATTTCATTTCACTTCTGACAGTGATCTTAATCTCAGTGTATTTTAAAAGAGCACACACCAGCCAATGTTTCACAACTTTTTTATGGAACACATCTCAGCAGCGTAACAGAAACATATTTATCTGATTAATTAAGTTAGAAAAGAATAGATTCAAGCTGTTGTTTCTTTATAAAATATTTTTTCATAATCTGTTATGCAACACCTTAATTCATAATCTTTTATAGGATTTAGGAACTTGCTAAACTGTTGTCGTCTTATTGTTTTGCCTTTGAGGACTAGTCAGTGCTTTAATAGGGAGAAAACAATTGTTTACACTTTAATATAAATGTTTTGCTGTGTTTCAGAAACTGCAGATAAAGAGCAACTTGCCCAACAGCAGATTTTAAACAAAGCTAAGCAAAGGCAGATTGAAGACCTGGAGCAAAAACTCGAAGATTCAAGACGAAACATGAGATACTTGGAGCATCAGTTTGCAATTGTCAAAGGTACATTTTACTATATAAAATTACAGGTCAAAAATACAAATACCCAATAATGCATAATGTGCTCTATGACTGTGACTTTCAAGCCTGTATCTACCAATAGTTTTACCATGTCTGACCTCACTTTACTGTTGGAAAATGTGATAATGAAAGACATTGTAAGACAATAACTAAAAAAGAGCCTTTATAGTCTTAATCCTGAGCACATTTTCATGTTTATAAAGATGAAAGAGAGAGTCTTGTAGTAAACTTGAAGGAATCGAGGCGACTCGTTGAGGAGGCCAAGGAGCAAGAAGGTCACATGCAAAACAAAGTAAAGGCTCTGGAACAGCAGATCCAGGTCCTAACAGAGAGAGACCATGAGGTTAGTTCCATGCCATCTTGAAGCCTCAATCATTTCACCTGAAAACTTAACAAATGCAGTAACAAACGTACTGAAGATAGTTATGTGACAGTAACGATGGTAGTTTTCTTTGCTTACAGAACATTAAAAAGCAGAGAGTAGCTGAAGCTGCAGTGGACAGCATGAAGCAGCAGATGTTAGAACTCTGTCGTTCAGACACCCTGTCCAGAACGAGAGAGCAGCACGACCGTGATCTTACGGTCATGAAGGAACAACATGAAGCTGCACTGTTGGATCTGCAGCAGAAGCTGGACTCTGTTTCTCAAGCTTTGAGCGAACAGGTATGTAGTTATTCTTTAGTAAAATGCTATAAAACACAAACAATACATTGCTAACTAACACTAACAGGACCATTACACCGTACTATGTTGTTGCCCTAAGGCTGAGGTCAGCCTGATGTTACGAGAGCAACTGAAGAAGATGGAGAGGCAGAGAGAAGAGGAGCAACTGGAAAGGGCCAGAATTATCAACGCCCTCACAAAACGTCTTGAAGACAGTCAACAACAATGTGCCAAACTATTGCAGACAAGTGAGTCAAGTGTCTCTAAGTTGTCCAACTCTAACAGGTTGCCTCTGCCAATGCAAACCAATGATGTTCACTTATCACATATAAATATCAGGAGCTGCTCCTTGATACAAACATGTCTTGTGAACATATTTGCACTCATAATTCATAATTACTTACATCATTTCTTATTGATATCCTGTGTTCTGTTCTCTTCCTGTTTCCTGCAGGTTCAGTGCAGGAGATGAGCGAGGTGCAAATGAAACTACAACAAGTTCAATCAGCCAAAGCACTGAGTGAAAACATGAACAAAGTCCTGCAGGTTTGTATACTACACCCCCACCTCCCCTCCTACCTTCATACAAATACCCTGTGAGCACAACCATATAGACTTATTAATTTGACCTCACTAAAGTAAATCAACCAATATTTTTTTACCCTTGAAGGAAGATCTGGCTGATTTGAAGGAACAGATCACTCTGTATGAGTCAGCTGTGAAACATGGCGTCATTGCATTAGACCTCAGCAATGACAGTGAGCACCAGTTGTCTGAATCATGCATGGATTTAGGACTAAAGAAAGGGAAAAATGGTCTTCTCCACAGGTAATGCCACACTTCACTAGTTCTTGCACTTTTTTTCAACACTTGGCAACGTCACAAAACGTACTCATCATAACCTACTGACTCGGCAGAACGGCCTTAGGCCCCCTGTCAGACCCCAAGAATCCAAAGGACGAGGCTGTACAGCTTCTGCGGCTGGAGATGCAGCGCTGCCTGAATAGTCTGAAGGGGAAGCGGCAGAAAATCAGTCAGCTGCAGGAGGAGCTCCAACGCTGTCAGAGTCAAATGAACAAACTGCAAACTCAGTTAGAGGAAGCCAAGCTCAGCTCTGAAGTGAGTTCTCCCAACCAAAGTCTTTATCTGAGCTGAAGCATGTTGACATATTTACATAAAATATGTAGGTATGTTTGTAACATTGATCTGTCATAGGAACAAAAGCACATGTGTACACGTATTTAAGTTAAAGGTACAATTTGTAGTATTTGTTATCATCTACAATAGTGGTGAAGTTTAATGTTGCTGTTGAATATTGTTCATATAATAATATATAGTATTTGTTTTGTCTACTGTTCTCTGGTATAAAATATATTAATCAAACTTACTTATTCCGGATATGAATAGGAAGAGTTTTTTTTCAGTATAATGGTTTACATACAGTCTTGCCAATTCAATTTGAATAATAAATATGTTCACCTTGCTTACTCTAAATGGCCAAACAGAAATGACCAACAAATACATGCGTCTGTTCTCAGGTGAGAGAAAATCAGATCAAACCTCTGGATCTGACTGAAGATTCTAAGAAAGAGTTGGTGAAACTGCAAGAAGAAAAGCAGCACTGGCAGGAACAGCTGGAGGTTGGTTGCAGTTGGGCTTGAATTCCTGTACTCCTGTATTCTAGTACGTTTGGACTATTTCCATCCTGACGAGTCCTGTTGTTCTGTACTTAATTAAGATGCTGGAAAAGAAGAACAAAGAGCTAAAACAGAATGAGGAGAGGGTTAAATCTGCCAACTTGGAGCTGTGCACCAAGATGAGGGAGATGATCCAGGAGCTGGACCAAGAAAAGCAGGAGGCAGCTCATAGGTGAAGTACTGTCAGGGCTGCGGAGATGAACCTTAATCCTGCTCGCATTGTTTCATGTAGAATTATTATTTTCTTCATGCAGAGCGGAGCGAATTCATCAACAGTACAGGGACGATGTGGTGAACCGAGTCAAAACAGAGCTCATGCTGGAACATGATGCTCAGATTGAAGAGTTGTCTGATCAACACCAGCAGCAGGTCCAGCAGTTACAGTAAGTTCATGATTTTACCTCCATTTAAATAACTATTTATGTTTCCCTCAATATGCCACTCTTTGTCCACCAATTTGCCCACTGAGATGAACAAAGTTTTCTCAATCTGTATTTCTCTGCAGGACCCAGCTGTTTGACGTCAATGATAAACTATTGGCCGTGCAAGAATGTTACATTTCTGTGTGCAAAGAGAAGGACATGCTCCTAGAGAAAATAGACGGCAAAGAAAAAGAGGAAGATTTGATCAGAGAAAATGAGGTAGGAATCTTTATGAAAAAATCTTGATGATACCTTTTGGGTTGATTGTTTTATTTTTATTATGGTTCTCTTTTGACTTTTCTCCAGTTAAAGATGAAGGTGAAGATGGACACAGCTCTGGAGAATCTTAGGGCTGAGCTGGAGGCTCAGCATCAAGCCTCAACAAACCAGCTGAAAGCTCTGTGGTCCAAACAGAAGGAGGCAGAGGTGAAGCAGCAGGTGAACTCTCAGGTAGCTTCAGTCAAGGCTGCCTGTCAAGAAGAAGTGCAGCAGGTGGGATTCACATAAAACGTATACTGCTCTAATATGTGATTATTATTTTACTATGGCGTTTGGTCTGTTTTTTTATAGCTGGAAAGAACTTGGACTAAGAGGTTGGAGGAGGTCAGGAAGGGGAAACACAGAGAGACTGGCGAGGTAACCTGTCAGACAGATGAGGTTCATAGCACCAACACCACATTTACTGCTGAGGAGTTGGAGGACAGGCTCAGTGCCCAGAAACATGAGCTGCAACTGGAAGCTGAAAAAGTCAAACGCAAAGCTGTGGAAGAGGCCAGGAGACAAGTTATGCGAGAACTTCAAGAGAAACATCTGGAGGACATGGCCAAGCAGGTCAGTGAGTTGACTTTAGGAGAATTCAGGAGCTTGGAGCACTGCAGTTCTTTTTAGTATTTTTTAAATAATACTAAAGAAGTCAGTCAAGTCAGACTTGATTGTTGAATGTTTGCGGGAAGAGCACAGAGCACTGCATAGCCATTGCAGAAAGATGTCATATTAGAGATGGTATTGTCTGAATGAGTATATCCTCTCTCTTAAACCCAAACGGTGAGAAAAAAGCTCAATTGATTGAAATAATGACATCTCAAATGTGAGAGACGTACACTGACTTTGTTTACTGACTCCCACCTTCTCTAACCCCAGTTAGATCTTTAGTCAGGAGTGAATAGTGATTCAACACATACTTATCAGTGAATAAATAGTTATCTAACATTAGACATTTTTATCTGCATAAAGGAGACTCTAGTCTCTTGATTTATCATTATTTAACTGACCTTGTTGAAGGAAATATGAGGAAGAACGGAAAGCTGAGCTAGAGGGTAGATTTCTAAACCTGCACTGCACATCCATCCACTGTCAAAACAGACAAATATGTCTTCATATTTGTGCTTAACATGTTGTTGTTGTTGTTGTTGTTGTTGTTGTAACATGATGCGTTTCCATCCTGTTATTTATAACCCTGTTATTTCAATCTCTTTAAGTGAATATTGAACGTGTAGGATGTGACTACTTTTACAGGTTGAAGGTGCAGTTACCAGAGCCTACAGTCACTGGACTGAGGATTTGGCTTCTCTACCAGAATATCAGGCGTCTATCCAGAGAGAGAAGGACAAATGGGAAGAACTACAAGGGAAGAACATTGAACAACAGGTATGAACAATGTTGCCCACAGCAGTTTTGGGATTTTATGGTATGTTTGCACTTGATATCCCTTAATGCCTTATCTAGCATTATCTTTTAGACAAATAGAAAGAATACTTCCCCTCCCTCTGACTTTCTGTGTAAATCATGCATCATCCTGTAATTGTTTCAGATAGCACAGGCTCTGAGGGAGGCAGAAGAGCAGTGGCTTAAAAAGCAAAGCAACAATGTAGAACACCAGAGGTTTGAGGAGCTACAAGAAGATGTGGCATCTCTTCAGAGTCAGTTGGAGCATGTGAAGGCAGAACAAGCTGCTCTGCTGAAGGCTGAGCTCTCTGCCGCCCGAGCGGTATGGAACAGAGACAAGCAGCAGGAGATCTCTGTGTTAAAGGTTTGCAGTGAGCAGCTGTACCAAAGCAGACTGCAAGAGCAGCACAAAAAGCTGGAGCAGGTCAGAATAGAGGCTGACCGCCAGAGGAAGGAGCTGCTCCTGCAGATGGAGGCAAAGCTGCAGGAGACGCTGAGGTCCAGGGAGGAAGAGTGGAGGAGTCAGCAGGCAGAGAAGAGACGGCAGATTAGTGATGGACTGATGACAGAGGTGCAGTCTGCTTTGGCAGATGCTCAGGCTCAACTCCTCAAAGATCTGAAAAATACTCAGAAAGTGCCTGAAAACAGGAGGAGCAGCGAAATGACATCAGAGATGACGGTCACCCACATCATACACAGCTCCTGCAAAGATCTGGTCAGCAGAGCGGTCTCTGAGGCCAAGAGGGAGTGGATGAGAGTGAGTGATGTTTTGTGGACCATTTGGTGGTCTCAGTTACTTTCCTGAGGCTGCAGAAGACAAAGCTTACATCTGTCGTCAAGTTAACAATGTTTTCTGTATTTTGTCTTTTTTGCCTTTTCTCTTTAGATCAGTGAAGAGAGACTAAGTCGAGTGTTGAAAGAAGCACAGGAACAAAATGAGAGAGAAATGGACAAAGTGCTAAGTATGTGATGTAATGTAATTTGAATTATTATTTGTTGTTTCTGTACAAACAGTCTATCTTTCTGTATTTCCCTATAAATGGACCTAGTGAGCCTGTAAAAATGTGCACTCACATCATCGTCCACTGTTCTCCAGGCTCTTTGTCTCAGAGGAAGGAGACATCTCGATGCAGGAATGAATGCACTGAGACTTTGACTAAACTGCAGAAGAAGAACCAGGAGCTTCAGAGACACCTGGAGAAAGCCTGTCGTCAACTGCAGCACAGTGTTAGGGAACACAAAACTGTCATGCAGAATCTGAAAGGTTTGATTTACAGTGTTTCTAAATAAAGCCCAAATCTGCTGTTGCTTCGTCTGTGCCTCAGTGTTGATGTGTTGAACTGTGTCCCACAGATGAACAAGAGCGCAGTCTACAAAAGACGAGACAAGAATATCAACAGCAGCTGCAAGAAGTGAAGAAAGACCAGGAATCAAGGTTTGTAGTTTTTCTTTTCTATCAGTTTACATTTATTAAAACCTAATATTATTATTATATTTCTACATTATTTTAAGAATTGTACTGATGTTTTATTATCTGGTGACTTCATTTATTTTAGGTTCTGCTCACATATCAAGATAAAATAATATATTGAACGCCCTTTGGTTTCATCTCTTGTAATATAAAATAATTTCATCCTTCAAAGTGTTTCATGTTACAAAGGCTTTTATCCTTTCTCACTTTATCCTCACACAGCAAGAGGTTTTTGAAAGTACCATTTAAAGCGGATGTAAAATAATTCATTCACAATTCCTAGAGTCCACTGCACAGTACTGAGAAGAAGTTGTGATAAAGTTCTATAGTAAAGAAAGTGCAAATGAAGTATAAGTTTGTGTCAGTGGTGTAGAACCAACATATTCGCTGCTCTTGTTCACAGGAGTTCAGATCACCAGCAGAATCTGCAGCAGGGTCTGGACGAGATAAAACATCAATATTTGATGACTGTTGAAAAGATCAGAGGTAAGTGATTATTTACTGATTAATCTTGTTGTTTTTTTCTGTTGTTTATTTTTGTTATTAATCTCCTGGGGCAGTGGTGGCTTAGTGGTTAAGCAAGTGGACTTGGGTCCAGCGGGCTTCAGGTTCAAGTCCACCAGCTGCCAAGTTACCACCGAGGTGCTCTGAGCATGGCACTGTCCCCACACACTGCTCTCCAGGCTGCTTATAAACTGCCCACTGTTCACTTTGGTGATGGGTTAAAAGCAGAAGTCATATTTTGTTGTGGGCATAGGTGTGCTGTGTCACAATGACAAGTAGTTCACTTTCCTTCCTTCCTTCCTCTTAAATGTACCCGGTGAACGGTCTGAGACTCTCGTTGTTTTTCGATCACAGCGGACATGATGCGTTACCTCCAGGAGAGTCGGGAGCGAGCGGCTGAGATGATCCGTGTGGAGGTGCAGAGGGAGAGACAGGACACTGCCAGGAAGATGAGGAGATATTATCTGAGCTGTTTGCAGGAGTTACTGGAGGATGGAGGGAAAACCACAGGGTAAGATGCTGTTTTCAAACATTAACGTTGGTTTAATTACAGACCCTTGATTATTTAATTTTTTTTTTATTTTGCAGAGCTGAAAAAAAAATAATGAATGCTGCAAGCAAGTTGGCAGCCATGGCAAAAGTACTAGAGACTCCCACAAAAACCAAATCTGAAAATAACTACAGTTTGCAGAGTGAGTTATTTTTGGCAGAATTGAATTGTTGTTCTTTGTGAATGTAATTGTCATTTGTGGTTTTGTTGACAGATTGTTTTACTTTTTTATCCACTGCTGGTTGCTCTCCAGGTAGAAACTCAGCTTCCAATAAGAACCAGCCTCAGCCGCCTGAGCCGTCTGACATTAGAGCAGAAGATAAAATGTTCTCGAACTCAGAGCAGAAAAAAGCGGCTGCAGCCAGAACTAAACCTTTGAGTTACCTGGAGAAGAAGGACTCCTCAGTGGATAAAGCCATAACCCTACCGTCAGCTTCTCACAAACATCACATCTCTGACAAAGAGACAACAGCCCCCGTGTCTGTGAGGAGCAAAGAAAGGGAGCTGTACCTGCAGGGACTGGACTCCAGCACAGAAGACCCCCAACAGAACAAGCCGTCAGTTGTCAAGGAGGCTCCTGTTAGAGATGAAAAACAAACAGACTGGAGCATGAACAGCACAGACTCAGACACCAGCTTCCACATTCCCAGACTCTCCTATTCGGGGAGGAAAGTCGAACCTGTGAAGCCTTTTTCTGTCTCCGCTGCATCTGCCAGTGACTTCAGAGAGTTTGACAGTCTCTCCCCCGATGCTTCTGATCTTACGCTTTATAACGACTTTGCCAAGAGGATTCCTCCGACTCAGCCTTTGAGCTTGGCTACTGTGAAGATGAGTTCACAGAGAGGGCCCATCCCTGGCTCTGAGGCTGAGCAGCAGCGGGACTTCTGTTCCAGGCCTCTGTACTCTGAGCTGAGGCAGCGTCAGCAGGACAGCGGCTTTGACAGTCCCTTATACCCATACACAAAGTAGAGTGGACATAGGATCTGACCCTGCAGCCCACTTTGCTGATCACCTGGTGCCTTTAGATGTAAACTCTTATAAGCTGCAGTGAGTCGATTATTAACCATCCTGAGGATTAAGATAATTAATCCTCAGGATTGACAGTTAGACATTTTTTAATTCTTGGTTTATCACCTGTTGGTGGCAGCCTGCCAGAGAAGTGTGACCTTAATTAATAAGTTTGCAAGTAGAAACATCAGATTTCCCACCATAGTGAATACAGCCGAGACAATTAGAAACACACACGTGTGTTTGTGTGTCTTTGGAAACTCATTTTGATTCACACCCAGGTTTAAAAATAGTTCTAGTGTAACAGGATTCTGATGAAGATCCTCTGCCAAACAGTCATGTCACTACAGACAGGTTTAGTGAATACAGCCGAGACAATTAGAAACACACACGTGTGTTTGTGTGTCTTTGGAAACTCATCCTAAGTTGTACTGAAACCCCCGGGCAGCTCAGGTGAAACACTCTGTTGTAACATATTTGATTGTATTTTTTGTATTGCTGTGTTGTTTTTATATTTAATTTATTTTTGTTTTGTATTATCAACATGGTGCACAATTATACATATTGTATATATTGCTTTATTTTGCTAAATAAATCTTAAATTTTTTATTAAAACAAAAAATGTGAAAAGATGTTTTTAATAAGATCGGAGATTTCATGTATTTGCTTTTCCAATTATTTAGGGCTGCAAAGATTTGCTGTTCCAATCCCTCAGAGGTTAAACTCCTCCTAAGGAAAAAAGAGGAATTTTGTACAACTAATCAGAAGTTATGGTGAGTACAATACATTTTGTCTTTATAATAATATTGTATTATGCTATTGATGATTTTTGATGTACAATATGTTGCAGATGTGGCTGAATTTAGGTTTGTTGCTTTGCTAGTTATTATGGCAACATGAGTGATCTAGGATATAACAACTCATTACACCAGACATAATGAGGTTATTGGGATGTGGATGTGTTCATGCAGGATGCCACAAAAGGCCAGGATGAGAAATACATGGTAAAACACTGGAAGGTTTAATCTTAAGTGGAGAGCGAGCTGTCAGTATACAGTAAGAGGGGGAGGATACGGATGGGAGGGTCTTTGGAAAGTACAAAGGTCAGAAAGGAAAGTTGAAATAGTTCAGAGTTTCATGATTTATATTAATGACTGACAGAGTGAGTTTGTGCCAACCCAGTCATACTGTACTTGCAGAATCTGAATCAGTCAAGCTTAAAATAAAGATAGGGTTTAAATTAGATGCAAAACTGTTAGCTGTAGTTGCAGATGAAAAAATAGTGTTTTAATCAAAGTTTAAACCACACCTTCTTTATGGTTGATCCTGAAAATGATACCAACTCAAACTAAAGACATTGTAACTGTGTCATAAACATGTGAGTGTATGTTTTAAAGCACCCAACGGTCGCCATATTGACAAACCATAAACCGTTGTGTGGCACCATGAGGTTGTTTTCTAACTATCATGGCTTCTTTTGCAGGAAAACTTCAAATCTGGAATACTGGATGATGGACAACAAAGTGGACAGCAAAAAGACAGGTCTGAACCAACACTGGACTGACTGTGGTAGATGTAATATTTAAGGATTTATTATATTATAATATATTATTATATCACATTTTTTATCATGATGAAACTCTACTTATTAAAGAAAGTTTGCATGGGTTGAACATAGCCACAATGACATGACATGTTTTTATTATGGCTGAAAAATAAAATAACTCATATAATAAAAATAAAAAAGCTAATTATATTTACTGGCAGTTAAAAAGTAAATGGTCGACGATTACGCAACACACTTTCGCACGTTCCTCCCCCTCTTTTCTCCCCATATCTGATGCACTTTTGTACGCAGTCTGTCTGGGACAATCTACTCCGGTGCTCCCACATCACTGATCATCATGTTTTCCTGGACTCTGTGCGTCCTACTGCTTCTCCTTCTCCTTGGTTACCTCCTTCTCCACTTAACGCGCTCTTCTTATTTCCTCGATGAGCTCCACTTTGTCCTGACTCAGCTCAGAAACAGACGCTCCACAATGAAGTACATAAAAACCAACTACACCATCCTGGACAAGTTTTTGGACGCGGTGAAGACGCACCCGGACAAACCCTTCATCCTGTTTAGAGAGCAGACCTTCACCTACCAGGAGGCGGATGCGCTGAGCAGCAGAGCCGCCAGAGTGCTGCTGCAGAGCGGGCAGCTCAGAGAGGGCGACACGGTGGCTCTGATGCTGGCGAACGAGCCAATGTTTGTGTGGCTGTGGCTGGGTTTGGTGAAGATCGGCTGCTCGGCTGCTTTTCTTAACTACAACATCAGATCCAAGTCTCTGCTGCACTGTTTTCACCGCACTTCAGCCAAAACCCTGGTGGCTGCTGTAGGTATGACTGGCTCACTGTGCTGGCAGTAGCAAAACTCTAACTCAATGATTGGATCACTTCTAATATTTACTTCATGGCAAAAAATGGAACTGTATTGTAATCTTATTGCTTATTATTTTCTTTTATTTCCTTTTCGTTTATCTAACTGTACTACATATGCATGCACCATGGTGAATAATTGACTAGTAATTTCTCTGTATGTTTTCAGTCCTCCAGGTTTATTAGTTTTTTTTTAACCTCAGCTGTTAAGTAAAAGGCAGCTGGACTGTCCTGGTTCCTAAAAGACAGTCCACCTCTCATCCAAGAGAGGTTTAAGCAGACTATTTGACAACATGATGGCTGTACGTCTGGGTTAGACCAGGTGAGAGGTGAAACGCCGTCTTAAAACCAAGGCAGTCCAGATGCCATTGATTTAACTGCTTATGATAATTGTAAATGAGTTCCTGGTCTTTGGTTAGTTCAATCATTGTAGAAGGGCAAGCAGTGAGATAGTGGTTATTGGTTAAGCAGCAAATGGCACTTTGAAAAAAATCAGCTGTACAAGACTGTGGTGCATTAGCCACACCCCCCCCATATTTTTTATTTCGTTTATACCCGTAGACATTGTTAAATTTTTCACTGTAGACTTTCTTCCTGCATGAAAAAGTTGAATTTTACTGAAGAAATGATATTTTTCAAAGTAAAAGTAATTGACTGTCTTTTTTTCTGTTAAGAGAGGCTTCCCCTCCTCTGTCGGTCCAACTGTGGACTCTTCCAGCATATATTTTTTATTTCGTTTATACCCGTAGACATTGTTAAATGTTTAGGTATAAAACTCCCCTAAGGCAAAGTGTTGATGTCCAGAATTGCAGGATGCTGTGGAGGAGGTTCTACCCAGTCTGTTAGAGCAGCAGGTCAGAGTTTACCTCCTGACGGACACTTGTCAGATCACAGGTGTGGAGAGCTTCAAGGACAAAATGAGCCGTGTCTCCCCTGAGCCTCTAGCCAAGGATTTAAGATCACATTTAACCCTGCAGAGTCCAGCAACCTACATATACACATCTGGGACCACAGGTGAGCTATCTGAGGATCTGGTATTTGGAAAGAAAAGAAGAAATAAATAATAATAATAATAATTTGACTCCACTCTGTTTCCCAAAGCTGCCATGATTACTCATGGGAAACTGTGGGCCATGTCCTTCCTTCAGCATTTGTCAGGAGTCAACTCCAGAGATGTCTTCTACGTTTCCCTTCCTCTGTATCACAGCACAGGCTTCATTAGTGTCACTGGAGCCATCGAGAGGGGTGAGCATACTACAGGGTTACAATCTGACTGACTGTAGGTTTAAACCAGTGTTAACAAACTGCATGAACAAAAAAGTCAGTTGTTTACTCTGCAGTCTTTCTCTTCACTTAAAGGCTATTTTGTTTTACATATACATTTTTTTAAACAAATCTTTTGGGTATAAAACTAAGAATGAAAACTAAAATCAGATTCCTCAGTAAATATACATCTAATATAGATGTTATCACTGGACACCTCTGCTCATCGGCCGGAGCCCTCTCCGTTGGAAGGTTTTCTTAGGTCAGCTGTCCTGTATTCGTCCCCTAATTCTCCAACAGTTTATAACAGTTTGTTTTGTGAAATCGAAATTCACAAAACAAACAGAAAATAAAAATCAAATGCTGCGTCTAATGTAAATACACTATGATAATAAGGACGCTGTTATTTTTAAATTACCTACTCTGTTCCAGTCTATGTACTTTGTCCCTTTACGGTTGTGTACAGGTATCACAGTGGCTCTGAGGAGTAAGTTTTCTACCTCACAGTTTTGGGAAGACTGCAGAAAATATAATGTGACTGTCATTCAGTACATTGGTGAAACCATGCGCTACCTCTGCAACACTCCTCGGGTATGTACCGTGTAGTCTATTGTCACTGCATTGTCACAGCTCTTACAAGCTGGTAGCCTTAAATCAGGAACTAACTCAGACTCAAACTTCGTCTTTCAGTTTTATAACTTTGAAACATGTTCATTATTATTATTATTAATAATATTTTGTTCGATTAAAATTCACACTCTAAATAAAAACCTAATATCTCACCTTTAATCTCCCTCAAAATCAAAATGGTCTAGAAACTCGATGATCGTAACCACAGAGTGAGACTTGCCATAGGTAATGGAATACGAGCGGACGTGTGGAGAGAATTCAACAACAGGTTTGGAAACATCGACATCAAAGAGTTCTACGGAGCAACAGAAGGAAATCTGTTACTGATGAATTACTTTGGGAAAGTCGGGGCTGTGGGACGACTGGGCGTTCTCACCAAGGTAGTTCTCAATGTGACATGACACATTGTGATGTTAAATGTGTACCTGTGCTGATGATAGTGAATTAACCTGCAGATGTTGTCTTCATATGCTGTCATTAAATATGACCTGGACAAAGAAGAGCCTTTGAGGGATTTATCTGGCTTCTGTATAGAGGCTGACAAAGGTGAGTCTGGTTTATGCAGAAGAGCTACAGACAGAGCAGATTTGCTGCATGTCAGTGGTTCAAAATGTGGAGTGCAGACCCCGTGAGGATGGGGGGTGTACAGATCAACAATTGTCCCATCTTTAAAAGGGAGACACTGCTCTTCTGAACAAATGCTCTCGGTCCTCGTGTTGTTGTTTTTTTTATTACAAAGTTGAAAGCTTAATTCAGACGATTGTGGTTTCCTCTGTCTTCCACTCAGGTGAGCCTGGTCTGTTGGTGTCTAAAATAACAGCCAGGACTCCGTTCAGTGGTTATGCTGGAGACCTGCAGCAGTCAGAGAAGAAGAAGCTTCACAATGTCTTTGAGAAAGGAGACATGTTCTTCAACACTGGGGACCTGCTGTCCATCGACGCAGACAATTTCATCTACTTTCAAGATCGAGTTGGAGACACATTCAGGTAAGTTCCTTGTCAGCAACAGTTTCAAATGTCATGTCTCTGATATTGAAAGTTTTTTTTTTCTGTGAACAGGTGGAAGGGAGAAAATGTGGCCACTACAGAGGTCGCTGATGTCATCACGTTGGCTGACTGCATCAGAGAAGCCAACGTATATGGAGTCAAAGTAGCAGGTAATGTAAACAGCTGGACTAGAAATATACACATGAGTGTGAATCATTGTTTGTGCCTGTGTGTGAATTGACTTTGGGATGGACTGCAGTTTGTCTACGGCATCATGTTTCATCAGCAGCTCAGTAAATGGTAAACATTTACTGAAGCAGCAAAAAGGGACAAAATAAACTGTAATGACCTAATATTTTGCAGGTCATGAGGGCAGGACTGGGATGGCTGCTGTCACACTAAGAGATGGGAACAAATTCAATTCTACAGCCCTTTATAGACATGTAGAAAATTTACTGCCAGCCTATGCAAGACCACGATTTGTAAGAATTCAGGTGAGGTATGACCAAATACCGCAACAGAATCAGTACTGATTGTTTTTTTTTGTTGTTTTTTTTTTTGTGGTACTGTGTAAGTATGTTGTTATTTCTACAGAACTCCTTAGCGACAACTGGGACATACAAGCTTAAGAAGGCTGAGCTGGTGCAGGAGGGATTTGACCCAAACCTAATATCAGATCCACTCTACTTTCTAGATGAAAAGAAAAAGAATTACGTCCCACTCACAGTGGACATCTTCAATGATGTGACATCAGGACAAATTAAAATTTGAAACTTCAGTGGGATCACATTAAAACACATTAGGTGGATTTCTAATTTATGTCCACATCTGTGTCAGAACTTGTATTCCAACAATAGTTTCACATGTGATTTTTCACACGGTATAACTGCCATACTCCTGCAGAGAACATGTTTGATCCTGTCCACTGAAAGTGACAAACATATGGTATATGATAACCACTTATCACTATGTGAGTCATCAGCTTGGAATCCAAAAAATACAGCATTGTTGTGATAACACAGTTTTTACCACAAATTAAAAAAACCTCTGATCCGTATTTTCTGTTTTTTTGTCAGCTTTTGTGGGTGAAGAAGCTGACCTCTCTGCCCAGTGAACAATCAACTCTCTGTTCCACCACTGTGAACCAGCTTCCCTCTCTTCCTGTTATTGTCAGTCTTTACTCATCTTTACTTTCAGTACAGTCCTTTCAGCATAGTAAAGAACATTTACATTCTCTAAAAATGTAATAAACACTTTATTTTGGGTATGTTTTAATATCCATCGTATAGTTGGGAACAATAAGACACTTCTAAATATTATTTATATACTGTTTAATATCTGTTCTAATGCTTCCTAATCAAACTTGGTCTTTTTTTCCCCACTGTGTAAGTATTTTTTTCAATCAGCTCTTTGGTGATCCTTATGTAAGGACACGGTGCACTACACGTAATGACCAGCAGATGTCTCAGACGTGAATCAAAGCAGTAAAAGGCAGAGCTCTCGTGTTGTTCTTCCGCGGTGAAGGGTTCGTCACAGCTGAGGCGTTGCAGCGAGTAACAGTAAAAAAAAAAAAAAAACCGTAAATAATGAGGACAGAATGAGGCGTAAACATGTGGCAACTGGAGACCACAGCAGAAAAGAGGAGGGGTCTGGGTCCCAGGCTGAGCACCGCCCCTGGTGGAGTGGTTGAACTTTGTCACAAATACACTACAACTACAGACTCTCTCCACACCCTCTCTCTTTCTTTCACTCCCTCCCTGTCTATTTTTCAATCTCTCTGCTTAACACAACCATTTCTCTTATTTTGGTCCACAGCTCAGAGAACAGCGCTGCAAAAATGTACATCCTCTTCACTGTGTTGGCAGGACTGGCTCTTCTGGCCTTTACTTTCGTCAAAACATTCTTCCCGTACTTTGGAGATGACTGCTCCTACATCCTGAGGAGCCTGAGGCTGGGAATGAGACTGATCAGGTACAAGAAAATCAAACCCTTCTACAGCATCTTGGATTGTTTCCTAGATGCAGCGAGGAGACACCCTGCAAAGACTTTTGTGCACTTTGAGGGCCAACAGTTTTCTTATGGAGAAGTGGACAAACAGAGCAACAGGGTGGCCAGAGCTCTGCAGGCTGCAGCCCAGCTGAAGGAGGGAAACACTGCTGCTTTGTTTCTGCCCAATGAGCCCGCTTTCATATGGACCTGGCTGGCTCTGGCCAAACTGGGCTGTACAGCAGCTCTGCTCAACTTTAACATTAGGTCCAAGTCTCTGCTGCACTGTTTTTCCTGCTGTGGTGCTAAAGTCATCATCACATCTACAGGTGAGTTGATGATTAATCTGCCAACAGGGCTGCAGAAAAGAGAGCAGAGGTAATGGTCATGTCTGCTCCAGCACGCGGTGTCCATATACTCTAGGTTCTCTGGGGCTGCAGGGACAGAAGTGGTATAGGGGTAAACTAAAGGCCTCATATAAGAACTGTGCAGCCTCTAACAAGACCACAAAACGGGCTCCCATCTAAAAATCACTTCTGGAGCACAGTAAGTTTGTGTCTTGAACTAGACAATTTGTGAGGTACACGTGTGGTAACCAGTCGACCTTTAAACAGGCAACTGCATTTCCCAAGGGCCCTAGAGACAAATCCATATGGTATCCCTGACCTCTGAATCCATTTACATTCCATTGGAACCCCCCCCCCCCCCCCAAAAAAAAAAAAAAAAGCCTCAGTCATGCCTGAGAGCTGCCGACAGAAATACTTTTCAACTTTTAGTGTTTCTGCACTTTTCAGTGTTCTAGACACCACGTAATCACAGTTGAATGGTTTCCAGGAGTGTCTGCTAAAATAAGGCACTTGCTGCTGTGTTTGAACTGTGTCTCTAGTTACAGATAATATCTTGTTTAATGACTGGTGACTGGTAGACACAATGGTTAAAGAGCTATTTTCTGCAGCCAGTGTTTTAAATCCCATCCAACTGGAAGTCAGTGTGTTGTTACATAGGAACTTGTGGCCCATGTAGAGTAAATTCCATAACACTGACATAATACACACAGCCTAACTGGTGGTACCACCGCTATGTCAGTTCACAACTACAATCATACGTGTTTCTGATAATCACTAATATGGACCTGTTTTGATTTCAACAGTGCCGCACTGACAGTGCAGCTTTGAACCAGCTAATCCAGTGGTTCCTACTTTATTGGGCTGGTGCCAAAATATAAACCAGTTTGAAGTTGGAAACTTGTTTTCAATCTTCTCACTCAAATGACATTAGTGCTTTAAAAGAAGTTTGAAGAAACTTACCCAGTGGACAACAATAACTACAGAATGTTTCTATCCATCACATTTGAATGCATAAAATATGAAATTGTAAGAACGAGTGATTTGAAATGGTTAAAAGTTTCCTGTTTTTCTCAAATTTTCTTCTTTTTTTTTCTTCTTTTCCTATGTTCCAGACTTTAACAAACTAACGGAAAAGTGATGTAATCTGTTACCTGGCTGCTCTGATCATTTCAACCTAACATAAAAAGCAGTTTGTTTTTTAGAATAATGTTTTCAAGAAACTTGATTTGTTGGGTGTGCTCTACTGTACTCCAGAAGAATGAGGTTATTTGAGAACACTGCAGTCAGGAGTCTGGTTTCTGAGCTCTCCCTTTTTTGGAGCAGGGAGTCTCGCTCCTTCCTGTGCCTCACATGTGCTCGTATCCCAGTGGGATGTGAAGTAACATGATGCAGGCCTACATGCACAGCATTGAGCAACTGAGCGTTGGGCTGAATGCTTCTCTGTGTTTGCAGAGCTGCTGGACGCTGTGGAGGAGGTTCTTCCTGTGCTCAGAGAGCAGGGGATCCGTGTGTTTCTGCTGTCAGACAGCTGCAGTATTCAAGGTATTGAGTCCCTGTCTGAACAGGTCAGCCAGGCCTCAGATCAGCCTCTGTCCTGGGACCTCAGAGCCAATGTCAGCATCAGAAGCACCGCCCTGTACATCTACACATCTGGCACCACAGGTAAACCAGGACAACTCCCTCAAATATCACAAAGAAAATGAAGTCAGGGTAACATCAGAAGAATTACATTTTACTTAAATAAAACTATGGATTGTATGAAATACATTTATGGTCTCATCTCAGTCAACATACTGTGAGTGAGGATTCTCCTGAATGTTTATGATTTCATTCACTAGGGTCACATTCTCTTCACCAGAACATGATGTTGATTTTGCACTATATGATTCACTGTAAATGAACCAGATGATAAAACAGAGAGAGAAATACAAGACAGTAAGACAGTCCAACTCTTGGTTGGCAATAATAGGTTTTACAATCTCAGATATTTCCTTGGCTTTATCATCTGTTTTCCTCTAAACATGGCGTTGTATACTTCAGCTGTCATGAGTCAATTTGACAGACTAATGCTGATACTAGAAGTGGACCTACTATTTATATATTCTGTGCACACTGGCAGAAGCCAGAGGAGGGTAATGTAAACGTTTGGTTCTACAGGGGGTTGGTTCATCTAAAGCAGGTCTGAGGTCTAAAGAAAGACACTAATGGAGAAGGAGCAAAATCTCCTGGAGATTAAACCCCTTGTCTGGATATTTGTTAGCAGCAGCAGTAAATGCACAATTTGAAACTACTACTACTGCTTCATCGGGCATTTGCAGAATTATTTTTGCCCTCCTGCATCAAGCAGAAAGTGAAATCCAGTGCTACACTAAATTCACCAGCTAGTTGCTAACTTTGACTGTTGGGTGCTGACTTGAATGCTGTACATTAATATTTAACCGTGATTCCCAACCCCTGGGCTGAAGCACACTCATTTGCAGTGAGAGATCAATCTGTTCAATTTCATATAGTTTTTGGAACATTTTTGTTTGGTGGTTGATTTTTCTAATGACAAGTATGTGCTGTGGTTTAAAAAGGTCGGAAAAAACTGCTACACAGTACTGTTTGAGAAAAATAAATATTCAGTATCTATTGTAACTTGCCAAAGATGTCTGCTGTGATACTTGAGGGAAATGGCTGAGTGTTTTTGTTTTCTCCTTAAAAACTTGTCTCCTGTGTGTTCATATCCAGGAACATGAGATGATTTACGACGTTTTTTTTTCTCTTTGGAAGGTTTGCCTAAGGCAGCTGTGGTCACTCATGAGCGGGTGTGGGCTGCCTCCTTCCTGCAGGCTGCATGTGAAGTCACAGCAGACGACATCTTCTACATCAACCTTCCTTTGTATCACAGTGCCGGCTTCCTCATCGGAATGGCCGGAGCCATAGAGCGAGGTAATTGTTCATCTTAACCTCTCTGTGATTCAAACACGGACTAAAGACAAATATAGTTTATATTCTCAGTTGTGATTATTCTGGCTGTGAGACGATGTTTTTGTGGATCACAGGTATGACCATCGTTTTGAGGAGAAAGTTCTCAGCCTCTCAGTTCTGGGACGACTGCAGGAAACATAATGTGACAGTGATGCAGTACATTGGGGAAACAATGCGCTATCTGTGCAACATGCCCAAGGTAAAAGGAAACCACACCAACTAGTGGTCAGATGTATCACTGCTAGATGCACATCTATAAACCTGGACAAACTAAAATAGACGTCACTGTTTACAGAAAGACAATGAGAAGGACCACAAGGTGAAGCTGGCCATCGGAAACGGAGTTCGCAAAGACATATGGACAGAGTTTCTGAACCGCTTCGGAGACATTAAAGTCAGAGAGCTTTACGCTGCCACAGAGGGGAACATTGGCTTCATAAACTACACGTCCAAGATTGGGACAGTAGGACGGGAGAATATTCTCCAAAAGGCAAGAACGAGGGACATCTGCCTTGTATTTACGTTTTTAGATATTACAGTAATGTAGCTCAATGTCGACAGACAGTACAGGTCAGTCCAAGCCGTCCTGTGACAGTGACCCAGGCACAGACACACAGCCCTGAACACTGACGTTTTATTGAAGACCACAATTCCTCATGACGTTTAAACTGCAGACTAAAACTTTTGAAAATGGGTCAAATTTTTTAAGGTTGGTGGTGGATGTGGCCTGTATGACCATAATGAAAGAACAAGTATGTTATTAGCCTATGAAAATAATTGGCACTCACAGTTCTAATGAGTTGAGCAGTCAAGGAAATGCCATGGGGAAAGACCAATTTAATCACAGTCCCTTCGGTGTTCACTAATAGCTCAATTATTTCACGTGAGCTGCCAGTTCAGATCATTTGGTCATTAATCTGAGCGTTAGCGTTGAGGTGAGAGTTGCTGAAGCAGTTTGTGAATGGTTTCTCTCTCCATTCTAGATGTTCTTTCCTCACGCTCTGATCAAGTTTGACATTGATACAGAAGAACCAGTCAGGAACTCTGAAGGCCTGTGTATCGAAGCAGCCAGAGGTGAGTCTGTGTATCAGCCCGTAGGCAAACCTGAGAACTACTGGTTCTTCTTGACGTCCGTCTTCATGGTCTGACTTGACAACCACTGGTTCCACTTTGTGAAATGTTAACTGTTGGAACTGTTGACTTTGGTGATGATTGCTTGTTGTGTGACATGTATTTGTCCATCAGGTGAGACAGGACTGTTGGTGGGGAAGATAACGCAGAGGTCTCCATTCATTGGCTACGCTGGGAACAAGCAGCAGACAGAGAAGAAGAGGCTCCGTGATGTATTTAAAAAGGGAGACTTGTACTTCAACACAGGTGATTTGCTTCGGATTGATGAGGACAACTTTGTCTACTTCCAGGATCGAGTCGGTGACACATTCAGGTACCTGTAAACCAGAGTTATGTTGATGTTTGTCTGTCTGTCCTTTGGGTTTAATTTGACTTCTGATCTTTAAAAGGGAACACAAAGTTCTACAAATAGTGATGGGTCACTTTAGGTCTGCAGCCAATAAATATAAATAAAACATAGACAGTAGTTTAGATAAACTATCTCCCACTCCACCCTCAAGTGCTACTCTTGGTTATGTTTAATCTTGTTTAAAATATTATATTTTCACTTTCCCCCCAAAAATATTATTATTAAATAAAATATTATTAAATATTTATTGACAATTTTGTCAATCAGAGCCTTTGTTGTTTGTTTTTTTTAAACTTTCATTTGCAAACCACCCATTTACCCCATCCATTCATGTTCTTCTGCCTAACTATGCCAAAGGTCATGCAGTAGCTGCAGCCAGTCCCAGCCCTGTGTCCTCATTGACGGGTACAAAGCTGCTACTTCATTACGAAACTGCACTTTGCTGTCAGGTCAATGATCATGTTGACATGAGTGTAACACTGTCAGACTGGGACTGACTTGGCAGACATTCAGCAAATGCAAAAACTGTTTACTGATGTCAATAAGATCACCGGAGCCTACAGTCAGTTCAGCTGCTTCAAGGACTCAGCACATTTACTCAGTGGGACAAAAAGAGGTCGATGTGCTAGTCAGATATAGTGTGTCAAAGTTTCTCACAGACCTTTGTTCATGGCAGAATAGGCCAGAACATAACACATCTGATGATGGCGAAGGAGACCTGGTTTCAAATCCCTTCTTTTGGAGGACAGAGTAGTTTCACCAAACAGTAAAAATTCCAAGTTAATCATTCTCCATGATGTTTCAGCTCAGGGGCAAATCCTCTGTCAATGATGCAGAAGATCTGGGTTCAAATCCTAGTAGGGCAATCGTGTCACTCTCCCCTGATCTTCGAAACTTGGCAGAACTACATTTTGTCAAAGGTGGATGTTGCAAAGTACTGCAATTACACATCAATGTTGTCCAAGACTGGGGTTTGAACCCTGAACTCCTACACTACTGTCAGCTGTGTTAGCCCTTGAGCTATTCTGCCACAGACACCACAGTGTGGGAGACTTTTACTGCTGGGTGAAACCAGTCTATAAACTTCAGACCAAATTTACTTTTGTTACAAAGTGTAACAGATTATTCTGCTGTGGATTCTGAAACACCAGGCGCTTGCACTTGTGGGTGAATCCTGTTCACACTCAGCAGAAAAGGAAACTCAGTTAAATGTTTCGAGGTGTGAGAATGAAGCAATGTTTTTGGGAATTATAGATTTGACCCCCTCGTCTCCTGAACCAAATTCTTTGCTGCTTACCACTGAGCTGTATGCCCTTTGACAACAAGTAAACAACTGCTGGTTAAAACGGAAACCATGATTCATTCTAATCCTTAATTCTAAGCCATAGCCTCCTGTGTGTCACATGTCACATGACAGAGGTATTTATGATACTGAGACTAGGATTCGACTCTGACCTTCATTATTAAAATGTCTTATGGAACATTCCAGTCCAGGAACTGGCATTTTGGGGTGTTTGTGGGAATTTACTATCATAGTATTAGTGTCTTTCTCTAGTTTTGGTGGACATTTCTTTTTACAATAATAAACAAAATTTTGGTCACCGTGTGTTGCAGATGGAAGGGAGAAAATGTCGCAACATCTGAGGTGGCAGACATTCTAATGATGGCTCACTGCATACTGGAGGCAAACGTCTATGGTGTGAAAGTTGAAGGTAAAAAGTCTTGAACTCTGTATACCACAGAAATGTCTCAACATGTCAGTTCAAGAGGAAGACAAACATTCTGTATTTCTTTTAATACGCTGTGAAAAGGTCATGAAGGTCGCATCGGTATGGCAGCAGTCACTCTGAGAGAAGGAGAAGAGTTTGACTGTTCTGATGTCTACAAACAGGTCGTCAACTACCTGCCCAGCTACGCCAGGCCTCGCTTTATCAGATGCCAGGTACTCGTTTTTAGTTCCAGTCACCAAGTGCCTTATTTTGAAAGTTATCTGCCCTGAAGAACATTTTACTTTTTTTTTTAAAAAAAAACTTAAACTTAAAAACTTAACCCTAACCTCTCACACTTACTCACTCTACTGCAGCCATGCCTGGAGATGACTGGGACATTCAAGATGAAGAAAGTGAAGTTGGTAGAGGACGGATTCAAACCTACTCACATTAAGGACCCTCTCTACTTCCTGGATACCCAGAAAAAGACTTATGTTCCCCTAACTGAGGAGATCTGTGAAGAAATAGCCTCCAGGAAAATCAATCTCTAACCCAGGAACTATAGTCTGTCTTCATAGATTTAAGGAGACACTTATGGACTTTCTTTTTTTTTTTTAACTCAATCCACTAATCTCAGGGGACTTGAACAAACATCCATCTCAGCAGTTTTGTACATGTGGACAATTTGATGTACAGTTGTCTTCTATTGCCATTGTTGTACTTTTAACAATTAAACTCAAATAATTTAATCCCCACTTTTTTAGTTCATGAGTTGCTATGGTTTCAGGTTTACCGTCATAATGTGTCAAATCCCAATGTAAAGCTAGAATTATTATACACAGGTCGGACTGAAGGTACAATACCATATTTCTGAACTATTTCTGACTGTTTTATATTCAAATAAAGAAAAGAAAAATACATTAGTGCCCGAAAGTGTCCACCTTTGAAAATATTTAATCCTGGACTGACTTGTCATTTTAAATCTGGGCCCCTTCATTTTCATATGACTTTGTTCAGGACAAGATGAAAAGCCAGAAAATAAGTGATCAGTGTGAATTTGTGAAAATAGTTTAGAGCCAAATTATTTTTTATTACTGCTTAAAATTAGGCAACATCTGACCGTAGACGGCACGCTGTTGAGTGCCCGAATCTGTGAGTTGCATAATTGTAAACATGTTTTCCTAGTGTCTGGTGGGTGAGAGGTCGTAACATATTGCCAAACCTGGACACATTCAAAGCTGTAATCAAGTTTACTGTGGCAAAGATGTTTATACCAGAAAAGATACAGGTCAAATGTTTCCAATAAAGTAGATCAATAAGAAAAGATTAAAAGTAAAAAAACAACAACAACAAATTCTACAATTTCAGTTTTAACTTAACTTGTGTTGTTGAATCTGTGAGGTAATTCATCAGCAGCAGCTGTTGAGAAGATTACAAAAAGAATCTTTAAGAGTGAAGAAGCCAAGAGTGAGTCCACAGTGCAGACTCAACTGTGTGTCTGTCTGTGTTAGATTTATGACTTATGTTTGCAGCGTAATCCAGATTACTGCTCAGTTTACACATTTAGATTGGGTGCCAGATGTAAATAGTTCAATAAAAAATCAAGAAGTCAAGAAGTGTTGATACCATCACTTATTTTTCACAGCAAACAGGAATCAGTTTGGCAGAAAGAAAGCATCCGGGTGTGTCAGTGTGAAAAACATCTGGAGCTGGAGTCACACTCATTCTGTGAACTCGTTCTGCCTGAGGTTATAGATCACGAGGGAAACGTCAGGGCAAGGAGAGAGAGGTCAGAGTGGTGTCTGATTGGTTGTTGAAGACCAGTCAGTGCACGAGTGTCTGGTAATATGCTTATTTCCTTTAACTACAAACTGTTTTTAAAGGTTGCACAAAGTGGAATTGAAAATATTGGAGTGAGACCATTATGGAAATAAACAAGATAAGAAATGCTATTAGGACTGCTACTAAAACCGTCATCTGTCCGTCCTCTCCTCTTGTTCGCAGCTCAGGCTTAACTGAATTGCGCTCACCTGCTCCCGGTGTTCTATCAATTTGTATGCTTTGTTTATTGCGCATGCAAACACGCTGGAATACGCATTCACGTTTCCCAGAACATAAAACCAGTATAGCCCTTAAAAGAAGTAAGTATTTAATTAATTTTAACTGTTAATACAGCAAATTATGTATATATAAACGTGTTTCACTTGTAACCTTTTAAAAATTATGTGTTTAACGGTCGGAGGTAAATTGAGACGCCATGTTGAGGAAAATGGGTCTCCACTGTCCTCTCCTGTTGGTTCCGGCTCCTACTAACATAAAGAGAGGCGTGAATAACTGAATTGCGTTCACCTGCTCCCGGTGCTGGGCCTCTCTGGTGAAACAGTCATTCAAATGTAGTATTTTTAATAATTTAATCTGTTTATATTGTTGCATCTATATGAATAGATATGATATTTATTATTATTGCTGTTGTATTGTCACCACGAACACGTCATATACAGTATGTGTACACATACAAGTGTATATGTATATAAATACAAATAGTTTAGAGGAGGGAGAGTGGATAACTTCGAAGAGAGACGTCCCAGGTCCAGTGTCCTGACTACAGCTTTACTCTTATAGTTATTCTTTTTGAAATAAGGACTGGTCTGGTTCTCTTCCACCTCCTCTCCCCTACTTCGATCCCACTCTGGGGACTTTGTGGAACTCCTCCTGGGTGACAGCTGCATGCTTGGCACAACACTTCTGTCTGCTGAGGCGGCAATGCTGCTGTCTCCTCTGTCAAAGTTCAGACACTGTAGATCAATATGCTCATTGATCTTGAATCTTGGTACCAGCTGGCCACACAGAGGGCAAGGCAACTTAGATGGAGGCTGTCTACTGAAGAAGCTAGTGATGGGAGTCGTTGAAGCGGGGGCAGCACTGGCAGAAGTCCCAGCTGTGGCAGATCCTTTACCCCTGTGCTTCAGTTTCTTTCTGTTGTTTTTCTCTGCCATGGTGGAGACGTGGACGCGGCAACGCTGGGTAAAATGTTTTGCCTTCTCTTAAAAGCATGCTCAAGGGTTCCACACAGACGTCTCAGTGATGCGGCTCTGATTAGCCATCCTGGAGCTAACTTGAAAAATAAAGTCTAAACACATTTAAACGTCCCGCGGTTTTAGTTGTTGAGTATTATGTTACATAAACACGAGCAAAAAAGTAATCATAAAATAACTGTCTGTCTATAAAGTTTATGTTAATAACCCATTAATACGCTAAAACACTAACACGCCGGATAGCTTCTGTCCCGCTTCTCAGACTCAACTAGTAGAGCACAGATCTAAGGACGACAAAATTAATCGCAACCTCATCGATATTTTTCTCACGTTTCCAAAGTACAAAACACAAAATAAAGATAGAGATATCTGCAGTCCTTGCATGAAATTGTTATGCACATATCAAAAACAAAAAAAATAATTTAATTGCAGTTACGACACGAAAAATAAAAAAAGGTTTTTAATATCGCGAATCACACGACCAAAGGCTAAATGTAAATAAAATAAGAATTTGACGCTAAAATGTTGAGGGTCAGACAGAGCAAATGTATTCCAACACAGAGTCCTGTGTCCTGTGTTTATTTCGGAAAAAAAACAGCAGCAGTGAGCTGATGATGGGGGTGGGGGTATTCTCTACACAGGTTCCTGGGCAGCTGTGCGATTTTTATTCAAAAATCACCATTCCGAGGAGAGCAATCTGAGAGAGCGAGAGAGACACAGAGAGAGAGGGAACTGAGGTGTTTTTACAGGGAGAAACGCCATCAGCAGTGACGCCGGTAAGTGCTACACTAAAGTCAAATTGTCTCCGTTTAGGTGAAAAGATGAGAAGATCAGCTTCAAATGAAGGGCGACTGCAGCAGTATAACACGGTGCTCCCTGGTGGCGTGTTTGTGTTTCGTGTATACGTGCGTGTGTGTGTCTAAAGGGAGTAGTCTCTTTTAATTTGTGCTAGATACGCAGAAAAAACATACAAGTATTATCTTATCGACGCCTGGGCAGATGGGAGCGAGGCGTCCACTTACGAGGAAACCTGAGACATCACAACAACAACAACCACGGCAGCTGCGGCAAAAGTTCCTCTTAAGGCTTTATTAAATATCACCACAAATGTGGTAAGAGCAAATCTGAAGAATCAAATTGAAATGTAAATCATCCCCACACCTGTCCTACGTCCTTTGCAACGCCTCTGCAGTTCAGCACCATGGAGAGGTCAGGATGAGTCCAATTGAATCCAATACACCTCAGCTTGTCCTCTAACACATTGACATCAGTGTTGTTCTCCAGTCTTCACAGTTTGAGTCTGTGTTTGAGTCCAGGTCTGAATTCAATCAGAGTCTTAGTCAGAGAAGGAATGTGAATTTTCAATATTTCTGCTTAAAACAAATGAATGTGTATAAGAGCATAATACAGTGGTCGACACCCAGACACCAAAAATATTTAGAGATGATAGTATGTGGGGGTGCTGATGTTATCCAAAAAATAATTAATAACCAGTAGCATTATACTAAATTACTTTTTTACTGTAAAATAGTTACTTGTTTCATGTACAAAAAGATCAAGTTGGTGAAATGGGAAGTAAATAAAGGCTACTTTTTGCTAAGTATGTTTTAACATTTCAAAACAAAGAAATTAAGAACTAGCTTTGTGACTGAAAACATTGTATGGTATAATATAGTATGGATAATGACATTCTAAAAGTGCAAAGCATGACTAAAATTAAGGAATCTAGATTGTGAACAAAAAAGTTATATTTTTTATGTTCACAGGCTTGATGGCAGTGGGGTCACAAGGTCAGATATGGCTCATGGTAAGAGACCAGGAACCATTTCCAAAATATTGGCCACCAGCCCTCCAATATGCTCTGATCCAAGAGTCATAAAACAGAGCCAAGAGGAGCATCCAGGTTTGTTGAGCGAAGGGTCCAAACCACCACCCTGCACCTTAAAGGGAGATAAAAACCATGAGCTGACTTGTTCTGCATCTGCAAAGCACTTTTACAGCAGCTCTGATCCTGGTCCTGTGGAAATGGAGGACACCTGCTCTGAGTATGATAATGTGGGTTCAGATGTTGAGCAGGACTATGATGAAGTTTTACATTTGAACAAAGAGGGCATGGTAGACATGAGGTACTATAAACAATACTGTCCTGAGGATGGTGGCTATATAAAGCAGACAGGTTGTGATCATATTAATGGGAACAGCAGTGTAGTTAACCAGTTCAGCCCGAGAGTTCACCTTAACACTGAGGTATGTGAAGCATCACAGTCTGATTCTAAACCTCATAAGATGGACCATCGCTTTAGGTCACACTGTGCCCCATTTACTAGGGATGACATGGCAAGGGAACATGAAAAGAGCCAGGAAAATCGGTTCTTTTTCAATGATGGAGATGAAATAGAGGAAGTGCTGGATGGGGTCAGATTTATTGAAGATTTAGAGGAATCAGAAAGTATAGTTGAAAGACCAACCAGTCTTTATCAGAGCAGTAACACTGAGAGAATTAAAAAGGGAAGTGATGTAAAGGAAAGAGATGATGACTCTAAAGTTACAAGAATCACTAATATCCAAGGAGCCAGTAAGAAGTGTGAGTCATCTCAGTTGGGTTCAAGAGAAAGAGAGAGACAAGGTAAAGCAAGAGGGAGGAGGGGACCAGGAGAGGACGTTGGACATATTGTTTCTGGGATCAAAGGATGCAGCACTGAACCGTGTCCAAAAACTTCATCAAAAGACTCCAAGAAGGCTGTTGTGCGATCCAAAGTTAGATCAGGTGCCAGTAAGCAGCAGCAGCAGCAGCAGCAGCAGCAGCAGTAGCATTATACTAAATTACTTTTTTACTGTAAAATAGTTACTTGTTTCATGTACAAAAAGATCAAGTTGGTGAAATGGGAAGTAAATAAAGGCTACTTTTTGCTAAGTATGTTTTAACATTTCAAAACAAAGAAATTAAGAACTAGCTTTGTGACTGAAAACATTGTATGGTATAATATAGTATGGATAATGACATTCTAAAAGTGCAAAGCATGACTAAAATTAAGGAATCTAGATTGTGAACAAAAAAGTTATATTTTTTATGTTCACAGGCTTGATGGCAGTGGGGTCACAAGGTCAGATATGGCTCATGGTAAGAGACCAGGAACCATTTCCAAAATATTGGCCACCAGCCCTCCAATATGCTCTGATCCAAGAGTCATAAAACAGAGCCAAGAGGAGCATCCAGGTTTGTTGAGCGAAGGGTCCAAACCACCACCCTGCACCTTAAAGGGAGATAAAAACCATGAGCTGACTTGTTCTGCATCTGCAAAGCACTTTTACAGCAGCTCTGATCCTGGTCCTGTGGAAATGGAGGACACCTGCTCTGAGTATGATAATGTGGGTTCAGATGTTGAGCAGGACTATGATGAAGTTTTACATTTGAACAAAGAGGGCATGGTAGACATGAGGTACTATAAACAATACTGTCCTGAGGATGGTGGCTATATAAAGCAGACAGGTTGTGATCATATTAATGGGAACAGCAGTGTAGTTAACCAGTTCAGCCCGAGAGTTCACCTTAACACTGAGGTATGTGAAGCATCACAGTCTGATTCTAAACCTCATAAGATGGACCATCGCTTTAGGTCACACTGTGCCCCATTTACTAGGGATGACATGGCAAGGGAACATGAAAAGAGCCAGGAAAATCGGTTCTTTTTCAATGATGGAGATGAAATAGAGGAAGTGCTGGATGGGGTCAGATTTATTGAAGATTTAGAGGAATCAGAAAGTATAGTTGAAAGACCAACCAGTCTTTATCAGAGCAGTAACACTGAGAGAATTAAAAAGGGAAGTGATGTAAAGGAAAGAGATGATGACTCTAAAGTTACAAGAATCACTAATATCCAAGGAGCCAGTAAGAAGTGTGAGTCATCTCAGTTGGGTTCAAGAGAAAGAGAGAGACAAGGTAAAGCAAGAGGGAGGAGGGGACCAGGAGAGGACGTTGGACATATTGTTTCTGGGATCAAAGGATGCAGCACTGAACCGTGTCCAAAAACTTCATCAAAAGACTCCAAGAAGGCTGTTGTGCGATCCAAAGTTAGATCAGGTGCCAGTAAGCAGCAGCAGCAGCAGCAGCAGCAGCAGCATCCTGCTCCACCACCTCGCCATTGCAATGATTGGTCACCTGTCGAGTCCCAGAAGTACAAGCTTCCTACAGAGACATCTCCTCCTCCAAGGCCCTCCTTCTCTGACAGCCAGGAAACTGAAGCCAGTGTTGTTCGGTCTTCCATGGCTACACAACACACACCTGAACCACACAGGAGTCCTCCTAAGGAGAGTCAGAGACGACCAGAGAAAACCGAACAGGTAACAACCAGAAGTAGGCCTATTTCTTGTTGGATGTTGGATCATTGTCTTGCATATCAAAAATGTTTTCAAATTATTTATTTTGCCAAGCCCTAACTGACCTGAGACCCTATGAAAGCATCATTGTTGGATTACAAAAGCCGCAAGATTTGTAAAGGTACCCCAACGGTTACAATGATAGCTCACTTTAAACACACCATCCACCCACTGCATAGTTTAGGTAAGGATCACACAAATATGCAAGTGGACTGTCCTCAAACACAGTAGACAAACATTTCAAATATTACATCTGTTCTTATACTGGACACAAACATTTGAGGGCTGAAGTCCAGGTAGTGAACATTTGCCCTAAATGAGAATGCTGCCACATCAATGGCATTCTGGAGAAATAGATAGAAAGACATCAGCTAACATACTGTCTGAATCACACTGTTAGTGAAACACGATATAGCATATTAGATTGAACGTGTCATGACATGTCATGCTTCAGTTAAAGTATTTTTTGTGTACCACAGGCTGAGAAGCTGGGATCAGCAGGGGTTTCTGAGGATGTAGTGGAGCAGCCTGGATGTAGCGGAGACTGTCCTGAGCTGGACTCTGAGAAAGTCAACACACCCAAGGTGAGGATGTTTGATAAGCATCTGGCATTTGTGAAAGAAGAATATGGTCTAAAATTATTCTTAATTTCTGTGGGATTCCTTATAATGTTTCTTGAGTTCTGACTTATTCTCAGGTGTTATATTTTAATCTTGTGTGCCTGACTTAAATCTAAAAAAAATAAGACATATTTCTCACGAAGTTTCAGGATTCTGACCAGTTTGTAAATTGTAACAAAAAAAGGAAGCAAAAGTAAGCATTCTATCAAAAAAAAATTAATATTTATATGAATAATCCTTTAAAATATTTAAGACAAAAATCTGTGACAAATTCCAGAGGCTTAGGTCAAAGTCAAATGATTTATTTTAGTTAAATCAACAATTATAATAAATACACATTATATCTGAAAAAATTCAAATACAATGTTTGAAAAATTCAAAAATTCTTTTGTCTAACCTTTTTTCCTGACATGTGTTTGTGTTCTCCATTTATTAAATTACAATATATTTGCTGCTAACGCCTGGGTGAAGTGTAATTAATTATTTTCTTATTACCTTAAGAAAACACAGGAGGCCACTTCGTTTCCCAGCTTTGAGGACGGTAAATATCTGATTTCATCCTTATTTGGTATTATGTCTATTAATTAATGCAGTCAGGTACAATGCTTCATAACAAGAGCTCATTGATTTGTTAAATAGTTCCAGGTCCCTGTGAGCCAGAAGATCTGATTGATGGAATCATCTTTGCTGCTAACTACCTTGGCTGCACTCAGATGTTGTCGGATAAAAATCCTTCCAAGGCTGTTCGCATGTCCCAGGCCCATGAAGCTGTCAGTCGTATCAAGGTAATGAATAACTTTAACATACTATACAGTAATATATATATATATTTAAATATTTCCATGAGTACTATAAATGCAATGTTTGTAGTAAGAACTGACACATTTTTCTGTGATGGAAACAGAAACTATACACATTTGGGTTCAAGTTCATAGTGAATATTATTTATACTGCGGGTTAACCACAGTCTATTTAATGGGTCTCCTTGCATTATTTTGTTTTATCACAAGGTGGCGCTGTTGCCTGCCTCTCTTTGCACCTATCTCCATTTGCGTTTAGTCGATTGGCTGTTTGCAGTCAATCAGAAAAATCTATTATTATTATTATTATTATTATTATTATTCTGGTTGTTCTGCATATATTTCAGAGCCAGGATGAAGACTCCCAGATGATGACAGAAGTGGACCTGTTTATTTCTACTAAAGCTGTTAAAGTGCTGAATGCTGACACACAGGTGGGCCAGTCTGGAGATATTTACACGTTGACAATTGTAAAACAAGACACAAACATAAAAAGTGATGGTTCTTTTTCTTACATAGGAGACAATGATGGACAGTGCCCTGCGTACCATCTCTTATATTGCTGACATTGGCAGTATTGTGGTTCTGATGGCTCGGATGCGCATGTGTGAGACTTCATCAGAGGAGTTTAGTGAATCACCTGATTCTCCTGGTGAAGGGAATACCCAGTACAGGATCATCTGCTATGTCTTTGAGTCGGAGGACGTGAGTGTGTTTTGTTTATTATCTTTATTAATTCATTTTGTGTTTGTTTTTTTATTGGTGTGTTGGGAAATGTTTTGTGCCAAGAAGTTTTCTTTTTGTCCCACAGGCACAGCTTATTGCACAGTCCATTGGTCAGGCCTTTAGTGTGGCCTACAGAGAGTTCCTGCGAGCCAATGGCATCAACCCAACTGACTTGAGCCAGAAACAGTACAGTGACATCATCAACTCCCAGGAAATGTACCATGATGACCTTGTTCATTTCTCAAACTCAGACAACTGTAAAGAGGTGTGGGATTTTTTGGCTTCAGTGTGACAGAGACATGTGGAATGTGGACAAAATTTACACTGATCAATTCATTCTATAGAACTGAGATGTAGTTAGAGTGAAAATGATGACATGACCTCTGCTTCCTAGCTGTGCATTGAAAAGCAGAAAGGGGAGAGCCTGGGTGTGGTGATCGTGGAGTCGGGCTGGGGCTCCATTCTGCCCACTGTGATTCTGGCCAGTATGTTGAACAGCGGCCCAGCAGCTCGCTCTGGAAAACTCAATGTTGGGGACCAGATCATGTCCATTAACGAAACCAGCCTGGTGGGGCTCCCACTGGCCACATGTCAAGGCATCATTAAGGTACACACCTGGTCAGGGAACACAGGGTTTCAGTTCATGATCTGTGGAACTTAAACATATATGCTAATGGTGGACAGTTACTCTGTTATTGGTCCACAGTGATAACTCATTTTATAAACTTCTAGCCAGAGCAGGAGAGCAAAGAAGGCTAGTCAAACATTACTTATTGCAGAACTAATGCAGAGAGGCTTAAGCAAGAAAAATGTATTTAATTTTCAAATATTTGTGCAAAGTAGAAATTGAAAACTCTGATTTGTAATTTATTATTTTTTGGTCATTGAGTTGTTCTGAAGTTTTGTAGAGATTCTGAGCTGTTAATGTGTTGACATGTCTGCAGAAGAGGGTGCTGGGGGAAATATTTATTTAAAAAAAATAAGAAGCCAATAATAAAAGCCTGCAAGAGGAGGAGAAATATTGAGATTAATGTGGTTGATTTTGGCCCTTTAATACTAAAAGGGGCTGATTTACCTGCAGCTGTGACTCCAGGAAGATACAAAGATGACAAAGTTGAACTTTGTCCACCTTCTTCTTTCTTCCTGCACTGGCTGGTGTAACTCTAAAGTGTGAAACAGAAGAAGAAGAAGGAACAACAAAAGTTGGAAGATAGTTTTTGTAATTAGTTGTTACTGAACGGTGCTGTCTGTTAACTACAGGTGAATTCTTTGAGATGTTTTGGGGTTCTCTCAGACTAAAAGATCCTCTTGTGTTCTGTTTCCAGGGTCTTAAGAATCAGGTGAAGGTAAAGCTGAGCATTGTGAGCTGCCCTCCCGTCACCACTGTCCTCATCAAGAGGCCGGATCTCAAGTTCCAGCTGGGCTTCAGTGTTCAGAATGGCATTGTGAGTGAGCCTGTGTTTGTCCCACTGAGCCTCAGACCAAACCTCACAGTTGGTGACTTCTGAAGAGCTGTACTGTTTTTAAAAGGCACATATCGGTGGCCACTACTACAGTACGTGTCCATGCAGTGACAGTCTCCCCTGAACACCCACAGATCTGCAGCCTGATGCGAGGCGGCATCGCAGAGCGAGGCGGCGTTCGTGTCGGACACAGGATCATTGAAATAAATGGTCAGAGTGTGGTCGCCATGGCTCATGACAAGATTGTGCAGAACCTGTCCGTCTCTGTGAGGGAGGTAAGAACACTCCGTAACAGAGGATAATAGTTAACAGTAGTATATATATGAAGGACAATGTGAATTATGTTTTGTAAAACTAAGGAGCAGGAATCGCTCCGCTGTACTAGCCTTTTAAAGTTAAAGTTATATGAAGGACAATGTGAATTATGTTTTTTTTTGTTTCGATTCCTCTTTAGTGCAAATTCATGTACATGCACATGATATAGTGTATAATCATAGCTTTTTTATGAATTTCTAGATGTAGCGTTCTCCCCTAGCACTAGGTAAGGTTGGTTCTAGATATAAAGACACAGACAGTGTAGTTCACAAAGCTGGAATATATGAAAACCAATAGAAGCTTTGGCTATAATTTCTGTCCTTTTGCTGCAAATAATGACCTCCACCTCTCTGACAGATCAACATGAAGACGATGCCTGCAGTAATGTTCAGACTACTGACAGGTCAGGAGACACCCATCTACATATAGCGTGCCTGTCGGGATCCGCCCAGCGAGGTTATCAAACAGGTCAGATGAAGAGAGACCAGTGGATCGCTGGGAGCAGGAGAATTTATTTTTCTATCATTTCAATTGCTTTATTTTGCTTCTTTCTGCACTGCTGTAAAGAACATCCAGTTCTAATTTTCAGGTTTTATCTTAAGCTACATTGTCATTAAGGCCTTACAATGTGAATACTGTCCGTAGCTGTGTATGTGGGTTTCTGGTGATGAAGAGAAGTAGCTTTAAGGTCGTGATTATTTTCTTATGCAGAGATAAATTAGTACATTTATTTTTTATTTAGTCATTTTTATAATGTGTATGGTGAAATATGTGTACTATTGCTGTAAATACTTTGGATTAATCAAGGACTTGATTAGAAAGGCCATATTACTCCTACAGTATATGCATGTTATTATTAAAAGATTGTAGAGCAGGGTTAAATCCTCCATATGGTATCTTACAGTACCTAATAGCAAATGAAGATCATAACAGTAGCTTCACTTAGGCATTAACTCTGTATAATGGTGATGCTGAAGGCCAAAGACACAGCAATTTATTTTTAGAAAACGTGCAGTACAGGTGTCTGTCAGCGTTGTCGGAGGATAGAAGAATGTATATAAATATATATCACTGAATGAATGTAATGTAAAACACAGTAAAAATCTCAATGCGAAACATTAACTTGCCTTTATTTAGATACGGACAAAAACACAGATTACACACCAAATATAATATAGTTATTTTAAGGAATGTGAATGGTACATGTTGAAACTGCTCCTCAAAACATGGCCACAACCTCCTGAGCAGTAAAGAAACTGTTATCCTAATCAAACATATACAGTATTTACACATAAACCACAACCAAACACATTTTTACCATCATTTTACATAACAATATACAAAAAATATTTCAGCAAATGCTCTATCTGAGTTCCATTTCCTGGAAGGTTTTATAAGGTAAATGCACCTGAAAAAAAAAGAAAAGAAAAAGTAGAGTCATTGTCCATAAGCAGCAAACACAGCCTGGTATGGTAGGTAAGTTAAAATAATCTTAACTAGACTTCACACCTGCCGTTAAATATGAGTGTTTTAACTTTGACATAGTTCAATCAAAGGTGTGTTAAGTAAACCACTGAAAACACCTGCTCCAAGGCCTTTGCACAACACTATTATCAATGGAAAAGTTGTTTTTACAGAGAATTGATAACAGAGTGACTCATTTCCCAGCAGATGACTTGAACATTTCTGTTGGAGAGGTGACATAATTTGAGATTGTTGTAGTTACAGTACCCTTGACGTCAGCGGTGAAATTGTCACTCCATCAAGAAAAGCTGAATTCAGAAAGCCCTCCTCGTAGGAGAAGTCCTCATCTTCATAACTGTCAACACCAACACTGAAGGCCTCCTTTATCTTCTCTGGTATCAGGAAGTTTAGCAACACCACCAACAGGCCAATGATGGTGCACAAAAAACCTGCAAGTGATCTCAGTTAGTAGGAACCAGCGCGGCCCAGCAGTGGACGTACACAAACCGTGTCGGTTCTTTACCTGTGGCCAGAGCCAGCCAGAATGAGTGACTGTATTCCGTTTTAAAGGAGTCTGTTCCAATGGAGAAGACACACTGAGGAACATTCATGATGGTGGAAAAGGAGGCGGTGGAGAAAAAGATGAAGGCTGCCGTCACCATCATCATATAGCCAGCATACAGGATGACTGGCATGGAGAACAGGATATTTGCGAGCATCCAGGAGCAGAAGGCCGTCCTGTGACAGGGAGCAGCAGTTCACCTTTAAGCCACATTTAAACATAGCTTTGTGGAAATCTTCACAGCACTTCATCATAGGAGTATACATACCAGAGGGTTGCAGATGCATATCGTCCGGAGTATCTGTAGGGCAAGTTGAGCCCACACGGGCCGAATTTCTCGGCGATGTACAGGATAGGATTGGGCAAACCTTTCTCCAAAGCTTCTTCGTACTCATCTTCAACAGTGTCCTGCCAGCTGAACATCTCATTGTAGTCAATGGTCTCATTGAACTGGATTGGAGGATTGCCTGTAAGAAGAGCAACACACAACGACATATGGATTTTAAACAAATGTTAACTATAGTCCTACAACAACACTGAACCTGAGAAAACATGCCAATGTCTTGAAGCTTTACCTATGGTCACGAGTCACAACTGAAACTTTTTGACCGGAACAAAAGTTTCATATATTTTGAGAAAAAAAGAATTAACAAAACAAAAAGAAGACAGCCTTTGTGCGTAATCATTACAATGAGACTATAAACTATAAACCTGCTGCGAGAAAAATATAAAAGTTCAACCTCCGGCAGTCATCAGTGTCATAGCCCTGGCTCAGGGAGCAAGACAAAAATGGGAGACCACACACTTTTAAGTAACTTAAAACAAAAATATTTATTTTCTAACCAAATATCACAAACCCAAACAGGAAGCAGGTGCTCTGAGAAATGGTCGGAGAGAGAAAGAATGAGAAGGAGGAGCCAGTTAAATAACCTAGGCCCAGCCTTCCAGGTGCACATCCAATTAGTAGCTCCACCCATCTACCTGGAAACCTAAAAGAAACAGACACACCAAGAAATGACCAGAAAAGAGGACGGGGTCGTCACAACGATGCCAGAACATATTTCCAGTTTCCACCACAATGACCTGATGGATAATCCAACACCGCTGTAGATCTCCCGAAAAGGGAAAACCTGCCATTATACAGCTTTTACAAAACCCTGACATAAACCCATAAAAAACAGTGGAGTTACATTCATGTAAAACACGGAAGGCACAGGGTCCGACCCTCACCACACGGGGTCACCCATGACTGTGACACAACATCATCCTGAAGTTTGCAGGTGACTGTAAAGTTGCTCTGTAGTACCAATTTGGAGAAATATTCCTGTATCTGTATGCAAAGGAAATGTGTACATGCATTACAAATATATTTGGTTGGTTCAGATATACTGTGCTAAAATATTGAGCTTTTTATGAAAACATGTTCGCGTACACGTGAGCACCCGTGACCCACCCTTCAGTGTTATGTTGATGCCATAGAGTCCCACATGCAGACCAACGTCTGCGTTCACCACCACATTGCTGAAAGACTTGTAGGTGGTGTTTGTGGTCATTCTGGCCTCGGCCCAGTCATTAGTAAAGTTGAGAGCTGCAAAGGAAAACAAAAAGATTCATCAATATGACGAGAAGCTAAATAATGTGTTTTTTTTATACCTATGATTAATCACAGGAACCTCACCCACGATCACCGCTCCTATAAACAGGCTGATAAATATTCTCAACATCCAAAACAGCCTCTAGTTGAAAGAAAAAAAACAAAACAACATTGACGGTATATTTGTAGTTAAAACACATACACAAACAGAGCAAGCAGAGAATCTTTGGATCATAGTTGGAACATTTCTCTGATTAGATGCACTCACTGATTTCCCCCGTATGCCGGGCAGAATGAGAAGAAGACTGATGGCCAGCACAAGGAACACCAGAATAATGGTCAGCAAGCGACCACTAAAGATGAAGGCAGTCCTTTGTAGCGGGTAGAATGGGTAAATGTCATCGTAGAAAGTCATCTCAGCTCCTGATCTTACAGACACAGCTGAGGCTGGACGGTGTAACAGAGACGACAGTGTTAGTGGCAGCGTTCTCGGTTTCTTTTCAGATGCAGACTCAGCTCTTGTGTCTTGCAGGAGATAGTGAGGAGATATTGTCACCTCTGTGTGACACTGCACATGATTACACACAGGCATGACTGACTCGGACAACAGGACTGACTGACTCGGACAACAGGATTTCATTTTTGTTTTATTCCCGGCACTAGTTGTTGTTTTTGCTTGCAAGTAAAATAGGATCTGTACGTCGTACAAAGGTGTGCAATTCTATACGTCCTTTTCATTGGACCGGATAATAGTTGTTCTCAACACGTACTTTTTAAAGTGACATTAATTCCCAAAGATTTACAAAGACAAAACTGGAGAAAATGTCAAAAACCCAACAGAGGCTTCTTACCTGGACTTTGACGTTGAGGAAGACTGAAGAAGACCAGAGCCTGGTGTGAACGATGACGGAACGTACACTTCTTCTTTTATACTTCTGCTCTCCCTCCAGTCACTGGGGAGGTGGATACACTCTGTGGAACTCTGTGGAAAAGAGGTGTGATCCAGACATGAGGACCATTCCCATTTTGGTTGACACAGGTCACAGTCAGTCTGTGATCAGCTGTGCAACACATGTTGGTTTTGTACTACTGCTCCTTTCCTCTTCATCTCCTGTAGGTGAGTATGTGAACACCACTTTTATTGTCCATTGACTAGAGCACAAAAGTGAGCTTTGGAGAGTGTATTTATGAATAAAATACCAGTACTTAACACTTGTTTTCCAAATACAACTGTTTTTTGTTTTTTTTTTTAAAAACCCAATTAGATTCAGTAGTGGATTTTCGTCAGACTCACCTTGTGTCCAGGTCTCTGCGGTCCTTCACTGCTCTGGACAGCAGACTGAGTTGAGGACCTTGTATCGCATCAATGGATTTGCGTAGAAGTCTGTGGAGTATTTGCGCTGTGGTTGCCCTGGTGCTCATTCTCAGTGAGTAGACAGCTGCCGGGTTTTACGGACACTTTGCTCAGTTGACCTAGAAGGTGAGGAGGGTTAAGAGGAGCCGCTGTTAACGACAAACTTCACCTGTGTCTGAAACAGATTGTAGCAGTGAAACCGACTGGGAGGTCCCTCGCCTGGACGGCTGGTACAACAATCTGGGATGTCCCAGGAGAGGAGCCGTGGGTGAGTTCACTGCTGCAGACCGGACAACGACGACGACGAAGAAGCTAATGTGCTAATTTACGTCACACGTCGAAGTCCTCCAATTATAAAATGATTAAATTTTGTAAATTCCAAGCTTCGGGAAGCCTATATTTGGATTTTTCTTTTAACGAGATAAAAAAAAAACGTGAGAACGGTCTAAAAAGTCATGACTGGTTTTGTTAGTTTTAGGTAGTCAACGAAATACTTGCTAATTGATAAATATACAGTACATCTTGTTTACATGTGACAGAATCTGGTGATATGGTTTCTGAAAATGGCCAAAGTTTTCTTTAAGGAATTTGGTTTCTATTTTAATCTCTGGAAACAATTGGGATGTTTAAATTTGGTGAAAGGCAAGTTTAAACAAAAGACATTGACTTACTGTCGGTGGTACAAAAACGAGAATCAGTACTGAAGCAAAGTGGACTTGAAACATCTCATTAAGTGCCTTTAAGTGGGGGCTTCCCAGTGGAAAATTCCATCTACCTTGACTGCAGTGGTACAGTACCATGACTAATCATTGACTAATCGACTAGTTAATCGTACAAATTACATTATATCATGTTGACTAATCGACTAGTTGTGTTAATCGTACAAATTACATTATATCATTAAAGCAATTTCAGAGTGCAGTGTAATATTTATGGGAATGTGCGTTTATAGCTATAAAACAATTTACTGACCACTAAACAATTGCAAAATTATTGTAAAAATGTGTTTTCTTTAAGCCATACTTGTCCCTACATTAGACGTGTTTATGCCTCTTATGCTTAAATATTGGCTTAAGATGACCGTATTCAACCACAACTTGTGTGTTTTACCTCATTTCGTACAATACACAGGACTTTTTTTTTGAATCTCTTGTTTTAAGATATTCCCCACCAAACCATAACCCCACCAAAAACCTATATTTCTGTCGTTTCAAAGGTTCCCACCTTCTGCGCCTTGTTCCTGCACATTACTGGGATGGGGTCTACCAACCTGTTCAGGAGCCACTGCTGCCAAACCCCCGCAACCTGAGTCTTGTGCTGACGGAGGGACCCTCAGGGCTGCCTTCTACACGCAACACGACTGTGCTGTCTCTCTTTTTTGGTAAATATTCTAACATTTCTGTACCACAAATAATCCAGTTGTATAGAAGGTATTCTGTCTTTTTGTTTCTCTGTTGCTCACTCATTAGTTTCTTTTCATTTTCATTCATTTCTTAGGTTATCATGTTGCGTTTGAACTTTTTGACTCAAGACCTCCTGGATGTCCACCTGAGTTCATGAACATCCCAATTCCTAAAGGGGACCTTGTGTTTGACCCAACCGATGCTGGAAAAGTCCTGCTGCCCTTTCAGCGAGGACCATGGGACAAAGAGTCTGGTCAGAGTCCCAGTAACCCTCGAACCCCGGTACGTACCGTTGTGTCTTTTTATCTGGCGACTACAGGGGATGACGGTAGATTCTGTAGAACGTCGAGTTGAGGTCTGTTCCCAGGCTCTGCTGAGCTGCATTTTAGTAACACCCTGGGCTTCAGGTGTCATAGATGAATCAGAGAAGATGGATGAGAAGTTTTAGTGAATTTGCTTTTGAATTGGTGGTAGAATTGTTGTCCAAAGTGCTTTTATGATAATCACACCTATAACAAGCTTGGTGTGATTTCTTTTCACTTTGATATTTACAAAAACAGCAGGAACTTCAGTAGCTCAGGGCGCTCTGAAGGTTACTTGATATCTATTTTGCAGTTACCACACCAAAACACCAAAACATCTTTTGCAAAACATGCAGGTCAACCTTGTGACAGCCTGGATCGATGGCAGCTCCATCTACGGAACGTCCACATCATGGTCTGACTCACTGAGGAGTTTCTCCGGAGGACTCTTGGCCTCAGGCTCGGAGTTGAACATGCCGAAACAAGGAGGCGGAAGAAACCTCATGTGGAGTGCTGCTGACCCCTCGACTGGAGACCATGGGCCTCATGGCCTTTACAGTGAGACACATGTCAAGCTTTATTTTCACTGATCTCATTTTATTAGATATCTAAATAGATTAAAATATTGTTAAAGTCAAACTGACGGCCATTACTTCGTCAACTTGCTAAAAAACTCCCTGAAGCTAAAATTCCTCCATATTTCTCGTCTTTAGGTGCAGCTCGTACAACCCACTAGTTAAGTGTGATTTATTTAAGAAGTTCTGTAGGGCTGGAGCTCAGCCCAAAGCTGTGCTGCTCAGTGACATTTAATGGACGCTTCATAAATCCTCAAAAACAGCACATTAGAGCAACTTAGCTGCTGCCAAGAGATTGTCTCTCCCTAAAATACTTGAAATGCCACTGAATAGTCTCTAAAAATGCTTCTTGCGTTCTTGTTGTCTGCTCAACACTGAAGAAAACAAACGGCAACAATTCCATTCTAATGTTATTTCACAGTGGTCTGCTTGCAAAGTTGCAGTCGGCAGAGGCTGACTCAAGAGAGGCCCTGCCTGACGTGTGTAATGACCCTTTAATTATTGTGTAAAGGGCTTGTCACACTGACCACAGTAAATCCCTGTGTCTATAGTCGAGAAGGCAGAGAAGGTGCCGTACAGGTTTCATTAGACCCGTGTTTTGTTGCCTCTGTTGTCAGAGGTGTGTAGTTATTATGCGGGGTGGAGGGGGAGGATAAATCTCCTGTTGTCACCGCGCTGTTGTCACCTACTAAAAAACAAAGAGCTACATTGTTACTCCATAACAATGTGTGCTTAGGGTAAAATGTGGCCAAAAATGAAAGTCTCTTGTATTAGTAATCTGATAAAATCTGTAAAAATGTTCACAACTGAGATGCAGGTGATCTGCTGCAGGTAAAATACTGACTCCAGTTCTGCCTCAAGTTAGGCATTTTGCATAACATAAGGAATAATTATCAGCTCAAAATATTAACCAATTTGACCAGTAGGTGCTAGTAGTGGCAGTATTTTAATTTGACGGTGAACATAATCAGCCCTAAACAATGACAGAGCCATCACCTGTATGTTTCACTCCATAATACCATACCCTTTCAGTCTAATGATTCTGTATTTTATCCATATATCTTACAAATATCTCACAGGTTTCTTCATTGAGATCTTAGGGATATCGTTCATAATCATCAGACTATTTTTGACAGGTTTCAAACAGAGAATATGGATTATCTTTTAATTTAAACTTTTGCAATAGTTATTTTTAGGTTCCTGTTTTTGTTTTTTTGTAATGGCTCTAAGGACTGAAGTGAAACCATGCACTGAGCAAACATGAAAGGTAAAATGTGTCAATTGTTCAAAAAAGTTCAACAAAAGACTTAATGCATCCTGGTAGTGGAAAATTTTCCGGTTAGGGTTAGGGTTAGACTTAGTGCATCCTGGTAGTGGAAAATTTTCCGGCAACAGGAGGCAGTTTTCTGTGGACAGTGTGTCATATACACATCTCCAGCCTCTGTTTCGTGACGTTAACTGATGTGATGGCGTAGAATAAGTCGCTCTAACTGATTACGACATTTTTGTCTAGAGTTGGGAAACGCCTGGGCCAATGAGAACACGTTCACAGCGGCTGAGGGGATTATCTGGTTTCGCTACCACAATTATGTCGCCTCCAAACTGCAGCAGGAACACCCAGAGTGGTCAGACGAAAAGCTCTTTCAGAACGCAAGGAAGACCGTTGTGGCCACATTTCAGGTATTGGAAAGAGTCTGTAATCCTCATCAGGTCACAGGTGCTGATTTATTGTACACTCTGATGACTCACAGTCAACCCAGGTGGTCGTGAATTTAAAGATGAAACGAATAGTCTTGTGCATAAGGATGGATGGATTGTCTGTTTGAAGACTCTAAAGAAAGTGGGCCAGTTCTGCTCCTGATTGGTTTAATTGTGTGCAAAATTTATTGGCCTGGGAATTTTCTCACACTTTCTCAGAATGAAATCACAAATAAGACTAATTTCTTTTACTGACCAACTGAATGTACAACAGTTCCAAAAAGATCCATCAACCACAAGTGATCATTTGAAAAGAAACAACCTGTGCAAGTGCAGTTTAATTTACCAAAACCAAAGTTACAGTGAGTACATTAAGAATCAGGAGAACTAAACAGCATTTCTGCACAACATTGAAACGTCGCTTCCAGTGTCAGGGAGTGATGATGGGCATAAAGTCATCATGGTGGCTACATCCACTACAGTTACAGCTACAGCATCACAGGTGTCAGGTGTCATGAAATGTCATATTTAGGTGTGGAGAGTCAAGCTCACATGGTCTTTTTACACTGATGTCTTCTGTCTCCTCAGTCTTATTACAGTAACCACTTCGTTTTTCAAGTTCAAATACATACATTTTCTGTCTCTCCTGTTTCCCCAAACAGAACATTGCTCTTTATGAATGGCTTCCAGCATATCTTGGGGACAAGAAGCTTCCACCTTACTCAGGTACGAAATAGCCACGGTGCAAGTGCGTACAAGTGGAGTGAACTGGTAATGCACTGTTGACCACAGGCCACGGTGAGGTGAGCTATCGTTGATGATGTTTGACAAATATGTGCGCTGTCAGCAAAGCATCAGAGTGTCTGCTGAATAAGCAGCCGCGACCGAGGAAAGTTAGAGACGCTGGTCAGGCACCACATTCACCTTTATCTCTCTTCTTCTTCTTTCTACATCAACCCAAGCCTCACCTTGACCTGGGAGATCAATCCTCTCCTTGTTTATGTCCATGGAGTGTTATATTTGTAATGTGTTTAAATATCTGTAACAGGTTACCAGAAGTTTGTGGATCCAGGGATCTCTCCAGAGTTTCAGGCTGCTGCCATACGATTTGGCATCACTTTGGCACCACCTGGCGTTTATATGAGGTAGTGATTTTTTTGTTTTATTTATTTAAAGCCGAATCGCTAAATGTACCAACCAACTCTCCCTTTACTGCAGAAACAGAACCTGCCATTTCCGTGACATAGTCAACATAGATGGCAGCTCATCACCAGCAGTACGTCTTTGTAACAGCTTCTGGAAACGTCAGGTATAAAACAAACATTTCCCGGTGTTGCAGTGGAGTCTTGGCAGCTCTGTCTGGGGCAAATGAAGCCTTATGTTTTGCTGTGTTTTGTGTTTAATCTGCAGAATCCTAATATAAAAGTCAGCCAGGATGTAGATGACCTTCTGATGGGCATGGCTTCCCAGATCGCAGAGAAAGAAGACAACATTGTCGTGGAGGACCTGAGAGGTTTTTATTCTGAGAGTGTTTAAACTACGGATTAATGTGTTTTCCATTAATAATTATGATGTGTTAAAAGTTCCCAGTGGTTAGTTACAGCTGTAATCTCTTGATAGATTATATGTATGGACCGTTAAGGTTCACACGAACAGACCTGGTGGCCATGACCATCCAAAGAGGAAGAGACTTTGGTCTTGGCAGTTACACTGAGGTCAGACGAGCTCTGAACCTGCCTCCAGTCGGAACATTTGAGGAGATAAATCCCAGACTGAACAGCACAGATCCACAGGTGAAACCTGCAGCAAACACTCCACAAACAAGCGCAAAGACATGAATTGCGTTTTTGAGTTATGCTGCTCAACAACTGACAGGAGAACATGTCTAAAAATGAAACCTTGTTGGACGAAGAAACAATAATAATGAGCAGAATAAAGACTCTAACACTGAAACTGTCTTTCCTTCAGCTGCTCCGTAATATTGCAGAACTGTACAACAGAGACATATCCAAACTGGAGCTGTTTCCTGGAGGATTGCTGGAGTTCCTCGACGGTCCAGGTCCAGTTTTCTCTGCCATAATCCTAGATCAGTTTGAACGAATCAGAAATGGAGATCGCTTCTGGTTTGAGAACAAACAGAACGGGTAAGTTCTCCTCTGAGCATCGTGTCGTGATAGGTGGATTTGTTGTTTTTTTTCAAAAGTGTCTCACTCAGGTTTTCTGCTAACATCGTTCAGGTTGTTTACAGATGAAGAGATCCAAGCAATCCACAACATGACATATCATGACGTCCTGGTTGCTGTAACTAGTGCTGAAGAAGCCGATTTCCAAAAATCAGTTTTCATCTGGAGAGATGGTACAATTTCCAGAACATGCATCCCACTGCTTCTCATATCCTGCTTTTTTCAGGAGATTCCACAGAGCATCATTCTTCACCATTCTACTAACCATTAACCACCCTCTGTTTAACCAGATGTTGACAGTTCTACCTCACCTGCTAACCTTCTTATATGGAAACACGCTCACTTCCAAGAAATTGTCTAATCTTCACCTTTGTCACCAACACGTTGTCTCCAGTCCATACATCACGGCAGGCCTCACCACTGTTTTGTTCACTGTTCAGACCTTGACTTTCTTTTATCTATCTGCTGCTCTTCTGTCACATTCATCTGTTCTAATCCTCAGCCTTTCCTTCACCTCTGTGGTTCAATCTAAGTAGCTTTGGACGGTTGACCTTAGTTATTGAAACCCTTCCACCACCTTTATGACGTCACTACCTTAACCTGCGCCGCTCTCACTCAACAGCAACGTTGTACATTTTAAATTACTAAAAATAATATCTCTCGGTTTTCCCAGGTGACCCTTGCCCTCAGCCCGCACAACTGACCGCCTCGATGCTCCATCCCTGCACTAATGCAACCAAGCTGAATTATTTTGATGGAAGTAAAGCTGGATTTGGTGTAATCATCATCATTCTGCTCCTCCTACCTGTGGGTCTGTGTCACATCTACCTGTATCTGCCTGTTTCATCTTTCTTATTGTTATTGATCTCA